TTTACAGAGAGATAGGTTTTATCTTTCCTTTGTAAAACGTAATTTATAAAATTATCGATGACTGAGAAGTTCAGCTTAAAAAAAATACACCATCTTGAAGGAAGACAAGGAGGATATGAAATCAGCTTTTATATTAATATTAGTTTAAATTGTCCTTGGTTACTATGTAATGAAAGAAGAATTGTTTACATGAGGTTTGCTCCTGGCTTGATCTTTTAAGATGCTTTGTGTTCATGATAATTTCTCATCATTCCCATAGTCGGTTAATCCTATTTTTCTTAATCATAAATTTAACCTCTTCAGGAAAAGCCATTAAAGAACACATGTTCTTATTAGGAAATTGTCATTATTTTAATTTATGACATATACTACAAAAAGATTGCAGTGGATATGTGTCACCTTTAAAAAATTTAATTTATGACATATACTACAAAAAGATTCAGTGGATATGTGTCACCTTTAAAAAAATCAGACTTCATAGATAAAAGAAAACTCAAGTAATCTCAACCCCAAAGTGAATATTCTTCTTCATTGACAAAGGAGAGAGTCTTTCCTAATATGAGCAAAAATCTAGAAAATTAAAATATTTGACATATTTCTGAAGTGCAAGGCTAAAATATAAGGCTTTAGGAAAGACGTAATTAAAAAGCTAAATGAGCACTCCAGTAGGAGCCATTGCTGTAAAACACACGGCCAGTGGGAAAGCATCATTTTTGATGGGTTTGATGGTAAGAGGCTCTAATAACTTTATTAAAACATGGTTACCTTCAAATTCCTGGCACTGAAAGACTAGGCTTGAAATTAAAGAGTACTTAGATTATCTGACGTTTTTATTCAAAAGACAATAGTACATCTGGAGAGGGGGGACTGGATGTGCAGCTGCTTTGAATTACACACTACTTTGAATACATGATAGCCCTTAATGAAGTTTTTACTGTAATAGGCAAGACAGCTTTACAATCTCTGACATTTAAAAATCCATAATGCCATGAATTCTTGATTATCCATGCTAATGGAAAGGAGAAAGAGAATGAGTTACATAAAAATAATTTAAATTTAGCTTTTTAATATAATTAGACACACTCAAAGAGACCAAGAGATCATGCGGGTCAATGAAAAACTCGCTTAAGGAGATAATTTACTCAGGGAATAGTGGTACATTAAAAATATATAGGTAATTAAGAATATATTAAGAGGATTATATACATTTTATCTAAGCAATAGAAATTTGTAAGCACTTTATTGACCCAGTTCAGATTTTTCTAAAAATTAGGTAGGGACACTAGCGTCAAATATGCTTGTAAGCATTTTGAAATTATACAATTGTGTATCTGGAAGAGGCATTAAAGAAAGCAAGTCCAACCCCTTTCTCATAGGGGAGAAGAAATGGGTGTCACGATGTATTTGCCAGACAATTTTCAAACATACTGAGCTAATAAACTGATCTAATTTTCTAGGAGAAAATTTTGTAAAAATGGGATCTTTGGAAGATGTTAATAGGTGTTACAGAAAATTGGATTCCGTGGTCAAAGTTTGGAAAAATGATGT